CGTCCCCAGCCCCCTGCTCGTGGCCATCCGCCACGGCTCCCTGCGCATCATGCAGCTGCTGCTGGACCACGGCGCCAACATCGACGCCTACATCGCCACGCACCCCACCTCCTTCCCCGCCACCATCATGTTCTCCATGAAGTACCTGTCGCTGCTCAAGTTCCTCATGGACCTCGGCTGCGACGGCGAGCCCTGCTTCTCCTGCACCTACGGCAACGGCCCGCACCCGCCCGCCCCGCCCCCTTCCAGCAGGTTCAACGACGTGCCCGCCTGCGACAAGGCGCCCTGCGTGGTCCAGGTAGGGGGTGGGGACGCCTGGGGACGCGGCCAGGCCAGCATGCATCGGAGGCGGCGGCGGCGTGGGCTCGCAGTGAATGCCTTGGGAGGGCGTGTGGGTTAGTAGTTAGTGCGCTTTGGTGGCAATAGAACCGGGTGGTTAGACTGTTTCAGAAGCAGCAGAACTTAGTGGTTCACACGAACAATTAAATCCTTTCTGGTCCGCTGTCTTGGGGAATTTCAGGAAGAAACAGTGGGGCAGGGGGCTGGCGGGGAACTCTGTAAAAACCAGAGGTCATCACCCCCAGCAAGCCTGTGGCTGGAAAGGGAGGTTGAATAACCAGGATCCGGATGGAGGCGAGAGCAGGTGGGTCTAAGGTCAGGCGAGATGCAAGGTCAGAGCAGGACCTGTCCGTGGTGGTGACCTAAGAAGTCAGAACTTAACATGAAAAGGAAGTTAGAATACCCTGCTCTCGGAGATCATTACAGTGGCTAACGGCCATCATTGATGAGCCACCTACTGTGTGCAAAGAAGTTGATGTTCATACTACTTCCATTCTCATAAACCCCTGAAGTGGGTGTTATATACCCATTTTCTAGATGAGGAAGTTGAGGCTTAGAGAGGTGATGCCACTGGCCTAAGTTGCCCACCGCCCATTTCTGGCCGCAGAGGCCTGTGTTGATGAGAGGAGGGAACTGGATCCTAGCTGGGTGTACCCAGTGTCTGTCCTCGGACATGTCCCCTGCCCTCGCCAGCCTGAGGCTGCCACCTGCCGGATGAGCTGGCGGAGGCGGTGCCCTTGTCCTGGGCGTCCCAGCGCGGTGTGTGCTCCCTTTCAGTTCTGCGAGATCCTGTCTGCCCCCGAGGTGAGCCGCTGGGCGGGGCCCATCATCGACGTCCTTCTGGACTACGTGGGCAACGTGCAGCTGTGCGCGCGGCTGAAGGAGCACATTGACAGCTACGAGGACTGGGCCGTCATCAAGGAGAAGGCAGGTAGGCTGTCGCTGCTGCTGGCAGGTCTCGCTGCCTGACTCGGGCCCCGGGCTGGGGGCATGTGACTGTTACTAACACTTGGTGACCACCTACTCCGTGCCCGGCTCTGTGCTGTGAGGCACATACAGTGTCTTCGTGATTCTTTGTTTTGAAATTGAGGAGACTGACCCGCGGAGACGATGTCACCTGGGCCAGGGTCTCACCGCTAGTCAGTGGCAGGGCTGGGATTCAAACCCAGGTTTGACCCACTCGAGTCCTTCCACTGTCTTTCCAGGATGTTTTAAACCAGTGGTTCTCAACCTTCTGGCCTTTTAAATACAGTTCCTCACGTTGTGACCCAACCATAAAATTATTTTCGTTGCTACTTCATAACTGTAATGTTGCTACTGTTATGAATCGTAATGTAAATATTTGATGTGCAGGATGGTCTTAGGCGACCCCTGTGAAAGGGTCGTTCGACCGCCAAAGGGTCATGACCCACAGGCTGAAAACTGCTGTTTTAAACAGTTCCAGCTCCCTAAGGAATATCGGATGTTCAGAGCAAGTTGCCCATGTTTGTGAGCCGCTGAGAGGCAGTACGGTGAGGTCCAGGAAAGAACGATGGCCTAGAGCAGTGATGGCGAACCTCTGACACGCGAACTCATTTTTTTGGTTGATTTTTCTTTGTTAATGGCATTTAAATATATAAAATAAATATCAAAAATATAAATCTTTGTTTTATTATGGTTGCAAATATAAAAAAAATTTCTATATGTGACACGGCACCAGAGTTAAGTTAGGGTTTTTCAAAATGCTGACACGCCGAGCTCAAAAGGTTCGCCATCGCTGGCCTAGAGAGCAGAGTGCATATGAAACACACGGACATCTTATTAAAAAAGCAGGAGCTGGCTCAGCAGGTCTGGGCAGGGCCGGAGAGCCTGCATTTCAGCATGCCGCCAGGCGGTGCTAGCGCTGCTGGTCTACAAACCCACCTGGAGCAGCACTGGTGTAGGAGGCAGGCCCCCTGAGCTCGGAGCCAGGAGCTTGCTAGGTGGCCGTGGGCCTCAGCATCAGCATCTGAGCAGAAGAGCTTGGGCGTGTCCCGCCCCCTTCAGCTGCGCCAGCCTGAGGTGCCTACAGGGGGCGTGATGTGCCTGGTGCAGTGAGGTGGGGTTTGGCCAGGGTCCAGCTGCTGTGTGCAGTGTAGATGGGGCAGCCTGGCTAAGCCAGTTTGAGAATCCCTCTTAAGCATCAGAGAGCTCACGGGGCAGGTGAGGCGGCAGAATCAGTGGGACTGGGTGCTGACGCCAATGAGAATTGGGTGCCTGCCCAGAGGAGTTCCGGCTGCCCCAGTCTTTCTCTGGCTCTGAGGGGCACAGTCCCAGCTCTGCCCAAGCGTCAGTCCTGTGGCACAGACTGACAGGCAGCCAGTGGTACTATCCCACCGCTGCTGCCTTCCCCAGTGAGACTGTGCTGGCACGTTGCCTGTCCAGGTGCCCCCCGTCCCAGTGCCCGACTCTGACTTGCCAGGCTCCTCCTTGATCCCCACACCCCTTTGAACCTAAACCTACTGCAAGAGTTTGCATTTGGACAAATGCCTGGGAAGCACTTGAATTGAGACCCTTGATAAAGTTCCTGGGCCGGCGGCAGGGGGAGGATGGCATTGATGGGCACAGCTCTGGATGCTCAATAAGCTTTCACTGGGTTCACGAGTCATTGGTGACTGTCACCACGACCCTCTGCGGCCGCCCGAGGGCGGAGCAGTCCCTGCTTCCAGGTTGGCCTTGCCCCTCACTGTCCCCTCCCCCTCTCCTCCCTAGAGAAAGCTAATCCCTTACAACTAGACAGCGTCCCAGGGAAAATGAGCAGAACCAAACACCTAGTAACAGGTAGAACAGATAGTTCCTAACCAATACCTGCTCGGCGGCCTTAAAGCCGACCCTCCACCTGCAGAACACTCCCCCTGTGCTTTTTCGTTCAAGGCTGCAATGCTGATGTCGTTATTCACGAGGAAGGGCGGACAGAGGCTCTGAGAGGTGGCCTGATACACCCAGAGTCTCCTAAGTTATCCAGGCCACCAGCCCAGTCCTGGTGGTCCCGTGTCCTTGGCCTCACCAGTGGCCTTTTGCCCCCCCGCCCCAAGTTCAGTCTTTGCTCAGCTGAGAAAGGGGCCAAGCTTCCCAGAGGGCAGGCTCTGTCCTAAGGGAGAGCGAAAGGCAGTGGGAGTGTCAGAAGTTCAGCGACGGCACCTTCTCACCTAGTGAGGCAGCCCCGCAGCTGCCTGGCCTCTGTCCTCCCCCACGTTCCCTCTGTGTCCCGTCTTCCCTGGGTGGCCAGGGCCTCCTTGGCCTGGCACTGATGTTTCCTCTGCTTGGAATGCCCCTGCCTCCCTTCCTCGCCTGGAAAATTCCTGCCCAACTGTCAAGTCCCCCCTCAGATGGCAGCGTATGGTGTGAAAGCATTCGGCAAAGGTCCCTGGCCAGCACCTCGCTGTCTCAGGCCTGACCCCAGAGCCAGGCACAGCGAAGGGGTCAGCATGCGTTTGCTGAATGAGTAAATGAATGGCCTTCTTTGATTCAACAAACACCTTCCCTGTGCCAGACCTTGTGCCCGGGGCTGAAATAAATGACCCCATTACTAGTTGTATCGGTCCCTGTTTTTACCTCACAGCCCATCCCCCCCACCAGCTGAGACCACTCACTGTCCTTCATTCACTGAGGAGCCATCCTCCGGGGCCTCCTGGGCAAGGCACCAGGTGCGATTCTGGAACCTGGAACCTGCTGGGAGCTGTCCAGCCCCTGCCCAGCCCCTGCCCTGGTCTCTGCACCACCCGGAGCCCGAGCTGAATGGCCTGCACGGAGGCATTTAACAGCTCAGGTTCCGTAGCCTCTTGCTAAGGGCTGTGTTGAGGGTCCAGGCTGTGTATGCAGAGGAAGAAGCAAACCCTTCGCAGGTCGCAGATGACAGGTCAGCATCTCTCTGTCCTTTTCCCAGAACCGCCGAGACCTCTGGCTCACCTCTGCAGGCTGCAGGTTCGAAAGGCCATTGGCAAATACCGTCTAAAACTCCTGGACACGTTGCCGCTCCCAGGCAGGCTGATTCGGTACCTGAAGTACGAGAACACCCAGTAACCAGGGCGCGTGGAGAAGGAGTGCTCCTCAGACTGTTTCACTGAATCTCAGGACGGCGGGGTCCCCAAATCCAGGGGACCTGGTGATGGGCGAGGCTGTGGGCTGCTCCCCCTGAGCTGGGGCAGCCGCCGTGACCTCACCGGGTCTCTGGGCCAGAGCTGTGCCCAGAGCGGAGAACGGAATATGTCGAGGAGGAGGACAATCTTGTTTCTTTGCAAATCGACGAGTAGATCTCAGACCTTCTCTGCCATCAGGAAGGGCAGGAACTTCCGTTCCGTTCCGGGGCGGGGCGGCTGGCGGGGGAGAACGTGGGCGGGGGCGCTGGAGCGCTCAGGGCTGCGTGTGCCTTTCTGGACAACTTCACTGCGGAGCTGGCCCTGCCCCTGCCCCTCTGCTCTGTGAACCCCTCCACAGGTATGGCCTGTTGGGGGGCTGGGGAGACCCTCGGGCCCAGAGGGCTTCCTGGTACAATAAATGTGGCACAGACGCCTCCTTGCCCAGCGTGGTCCCTCTCACCAGACACGCCAGGGTGTGGAGCCCTCAGCCCTGCTCGTGGTGGGAGTGGGGGCGGGGTGGGGGCTGGGGACAGGGCACACGGGTCTCCTTGGTTTGGGCTGCCCCAGTCCCCATGTGGCTCTGTGGGGTGAGGCAGGCAGGAGCTGCCGACCACCTTCGATGGTGCAGGTGAGAAAGCTGAGTCCCCTGCGCTGAGACCAGCGCGCCCCGTTTCACTCACGCTGCGGGGGCTCCCGGAGTTCTCTTCCCCGGTGTGATGAAAGCATGGAGGGGACCCAGGGCAGGAGGGCCTGTGCCGGCTGCCCCGGGATCTGGAATAGTCTTAGGCCAGGTCACACCTGGTTTCAGGCCTGGGAAAGCCAGCGGCTGGGCAGGTGTGGGAGCCCTGGTTGTGTGCCCCGCTCTGCCTCTAGCTTGCTCCTCTGGGGCCTCGGGTTCCTCATCGCTGTGGCCCCTGTAGCCTTGCCAGCTCCTACATACGGGCTTGTTAGAGAACCAGTCAGTCCCAGGGTCTGCCTGGAGAGGAAAAGCCTTCCGAGCAACATGTTAGAGCCACGGCCAGAGGGGAGTCGGCAGAACTGTGCCCACTCCCCCGTGGCACAGCGGGGCCCGGCACACACAGCGCGTCCCTGGGGTTCCAGCCCCGAGTGCTTGGCCGCGGTCCCACGCTGCCTTGCTCCAGTGGTCCTGAAAAAACCCATGGAAACCCGGTCCTCCCAGACTGAGGATGATCCACCCTGGTGGGCGGGGTGGGGGGCAGTCAGTGATGGGCTGGAGCAGAAAGATGTTCAGGTGCAGTTGGTGTGGGGCTGGCTGTCAGGCAAACTCTTCATCTCTGGTCACATTAGGTCTCAGAGGGTCTGAGCAGGCGGTGGCCCCAGGCACCCCGGGGGGTCTAGTGAGACCCCCCTGGAGAAGGGGAGGTTGAGAGGGAGGTGGGAGGCGCAGGGAAGGAGGGCTCAGCCACTGCCCATTGGCACCATTTGCTTTTAGGATGTGGGACCCTGGGCTTGGGATGTCCTGGTGCCACATTTGGGTTCTTGGATTATTTCTTTCTTTTTTAAAAATATATTTTTATTCGTTTCAGAGAAGAGGAGAGAGGGAAAGAGAGAGAGAAACATCAATGATGAGAGAGAATCACTGATGGGCTGCCTCCTACACACCCCACACAGGGGGTTGAACCCAAAAGCCGGGCATGTGCCCCGAAGGGGAATTGAACCGTGACCTCCTGGTTCATAGGTTGAAGCTCAACCTCTGAGCCACACTGGCCGGGCTACTTTCTTTCTTTAAAAAAATCTTATTGATTTGAGAGAGAGAGAGAGAGAGAGAGAGAGAGAGAGAGCACTCCCAGAGCTCCATTCTTTCTCAGGGCCGGGGGAGGTTGGATGGCCCAGTCCACAGCATCACTGAAATACCAGCATGGCAGGACCTATAGACACTGCCCGATAGCCAGGAGAGGTGGCCTTCGGTTGTGCAGCTTTTCACCACTTGGGTAGCAGTACTGGCATCATCCCCACATCAACCCACGAAGCAGGCCTATTTTCAATCACATTTTTCCAATGAGGAAATTTTGGCACAGAGAGGTTGAGTAACTTTTCTAAGGTCACACAGCTAGTAAGTAGCAGAGCCCCGATTAGTGCTTTTTACATTCTGCTTTACTGTGTGGAGGGGCTGAGCCTCATCAGAATGGATCCACTCGCTTGTTACTGGTCCCCTCCCTGCTCTTTAAGACCAGAGCAGCTGAGGGGAGGGTCCTGGCTGAGGACTCGCTGTCCACGCTGCCTGTGCCGCACAGCCTCTGTGGCTCTGAAGTCCTCCAAGACCAGCGGACACAAACCACTCCCCAGTGTGGGCTGCCCGTCCATGTGGATGGGCCTTAGGGGAGCCCTGGGGTACAAATGGGCAGGTGGGAGAGTCCCGTAGCCATCGCTAATCCGGGAGCCTCGAGTTAGGAAGGATTCTGAGTCCTAATCAAAGTGGAAGGCACCACAGAGGGACCATTGCCCTCCCACCCCCCTTCTGCAGGTGGCGCCAGGAGGCCTGAGAGGAGGTCCAGCCCCATGTCCCATGCAGGACACAGCTCCGCCCCCTGGCACCATCCTCCCCGGTGGCTCGTCCCCCCTCCCTCCTTCGAATTGAGCGGTTGGCCTCCAGTGCCCACTCCCACTGCTGGCCTCCCCCCGCTGTCACCTCCATGAGCAGCCCTCCTCCTGGGTGCAGCCAGCACTTCTTAGGCCTGGGGACCATTCAACTTCATGAGACCCAAGGTGTGGAAACTGCAAAAGAAACTTCTTTATTCTTTAAACCTTCTTAGTATTTACAAAGAACAACAATAACAGAACTGAGATTGGCTTACAGAGTGGGTGGCAGAATAACATGTGTAACTCGGGCTTCGGGGGTGGCTGGCCAACCAGGGCGAAGCCCCGAGGTCTGCACAGGGACGGGGGGATGATCCGTCCGGCTCTGGCCTGGAGGGGGACCCACTGAGCCCGGCCCCGCAGCTCCCAAGGCGATGGCCTGAGAAGGCCGGACCCCGATCCTGCCCTCCCCACCCCACACGCATATAAAGGAAAGGTTCTCAAGAGGCCACACCACACCGCTGCCCGGCCCCCTGCTCACAGGGGAGCTCCTGGGGCCCCACACGCCCCAGGCTGGAGGCGGGAGCAAGGTCCACAGCCCCGCTAGAGGTAGCCAAAGACGTTGAAGATGGGCGGGGGCATGGCCGGCTTCGTGGGGATGGGCTTCAGAACCACGGGCCTGTATACCTTCTGCCCCGGGCCATCCACATCCTTGGCCAGATGGGCCAGCTCCCCAGGGGAAGCCGGGCTTTTCCTCCACAGGCCCAGGCTGGGGACCGGGCCCGGCGGCAAGGCCCCTGGAGGGCCCGGGTAGATGGGCTGTCCATGGTACTGGAAGGGGCAGCAGCTCCAGGCATTGACACGGCCCACCAGGGAGACCCCAGGCAACTTGGGTGGCTCCTTTTCAGCCAGCGCCCTGGGGGACATGGGGATCAGGGCCATGTCGGGCCCGAAGAGCTCCAAGCCCCTGCAGTGTTTCTTACACTCGTAGGGAGGTCCCTCTCTGGGGCCCAGGACCCCCTCCAGCGCCACGGGGTAGCTGTGGGTGGGCCGCGGCTCTTCCCAGAAGGAAGCGGGCAGCTGTCTTTTCCTCATGGGCACCTGGCCAGGCCTGGCAGCTCCTGGGTTCTGCCCCTGTAGGGTCTGCTCCCTAGAGAGACACTCCTCCCTGTAGGGGTTCCCCAGAGCCTTCTCCTTGCAGTCCCCACCACTGCGAGGGCTGGCGTCAGGGCCGGGATTGAGGGGCAGCCTCCCGGGGCGGTCCTCAGGCCCCCTTCTCAGGGGAGGCTCGGCCCCTCGGCCCGGGAGGCCCCGCGGCAGCCGGGAGTACTTCTGGGAGAAGCGTTTGAGCTGCTTCTGCAGGTACTTGCGGTGGTCCACAGAGCGGCGGCAGGGCGCCGACTTGTCCAGAGCCGCCTTGATGTCACTGGAAGCCAGATTCACAAAGTTCAGCAGCATCTTCACGTCACTGTCGGATGCCATCACCAGGGGGGCCACTGCACCGGGCTTTCCATGAAGAGGGCGGTCTGCTCGTGGCGGGCAGCTCCAGGGAAGGGCACCGGGCTGACCTGGGGGACACACCGGCCGTTGGAGTCTCTCCAAGCCGCCAACTCAGCCCCCCCCCGCCAAAGGCCACGTGGCTGCAAACAGTGGGCCCGGCCCCGGCCCCCTCCGCCCCTGACAGAGTCCCGGGCAGTGGGACACCCATTCCAGCGTGTCCTGAGCATTGGGGATGGGCCAGGCTCAGACACCTTAGTCTGCTGGGGTCGATTGCCCTCTCCCTGCAGCTGAGGCTCAGAGAGGTCAGGTGACTTGCCCAAGGTGACCCAGCCACACGTGGCGTTGCTGGGGCTGGAGACAGGTCCCCTCGCTCCCAGCCCACTGTCTCCCACACACCACGCTGCCAACGTGCACACTTGCCAGCCAGGTTTCTCTTTTCTGAGCAGAGGTGACTGCTCCACTCCCAAGCCAAGCCCCTGTCTCCCTGGTGGCGCCCTCCTCCTCCCCCCCCCGCCCCAGC